TATAACAAGCATCTCTTAAACTTCAGAAATAATTCATTTCTTCCTCCCTCCCCCCCCCCAACCTTTGTGTTGCGTATCGTCGAATTTCGTGCACAAAATATATATACGTAAAAAAAAAGAGAGAGAGAGAGAAAAATGAATCGCAATGAGAGGAGATCCTTCGAATTTCCTTTTCCTTTTTTTTTTTTTTTTTTTTTCCTCTGGATAATTTCCCGCGTGAAATACATAAGGAGGGACAATAATAAATAAAAAACGAAGAGAACCGCAGTGGGAGGAAGTCTCGACTCTCTCTCGAGCCTTTGTATCGTTCGAAATCCGGCTTTAAACGCGCGGCGTCTTCGTCAAGGATTATGAACACGGTACATACACCCGGCTCGTACACACACACACACACACACACACACGCATGCGCGATTCGACTGATACAACGACAGTGTCACGAGGAGACGTCTCCGAATCGCCTCTTTGTGTCTGGCGAGAGGCAACACGCCTACAGCTGTCTGCCAATGCGATAGATAGAATCTCTTGCCCGCTCGAAGGCACACGGAAGCGGGAGAGAGAAATTGTCTCCTCTACTACATTAATCGTTACGAAAAATCCTTGAGGATCCGAAATGAATATATATTAATTTTCCAAGCTTTCTTTCTTCTCTAATTAAAAGTTCGATTAAAAGTCTTGATTGGTCACGTCGAATGGAGATTATATACAAAAGGAGGGGAGGGGGGAAGGGGGGGGGTAAGCATACAAATTATTAATCATTTTGCTAATCGCACTCGTTGTAGATAATTATGCTTATCGGTGTGGTGTTATACATAAGTTTTTAAATGATGATACATGTACCTGGGACAATTATCTAGACAATTTTAAAATAATTATATTGTTGAATACTCGTTTAAAGAAGAAAGGAAAAAATGAAATAGCGTAATCCTGTCCGTTTTAAAAATTAATCAAAAACGATGCATCATCGATCTTTATCTTGGAGCACGTGGACGTAATGAAGAAATTGCCAGACGATGGGACAATATAACCTGTAAGAATCGTGCCAAGAAAACCTAATCGCGGAGGAAAATCAACGATCGTGATCATCATTGGTAAGAACGTTTATGGCGCCATTTATTAGCCCATAAATCAAACGGCGCCAATAAGTGGCGTTTCTTTTGGTAACGAATACTTAAGGGGAAGAAAACGGTGGATATTATTTGGTCGCTGACCTATCAAGACGGCCCTGCCGCACCTTATTTAATCTGTTGCTCTTTTTTTCCAACGTCCCTCTCCTTATCGAGCGTATTCTTGCTCCCATCTTTTTATTTCTTCTTTATCTCTTGTCTCTTCTCTTCGACCTCTTTCTTCTCTTCTTTTTTTTTTTTCTTTTAATCTTTTACCTTTCCTGTGCTCGCTTGGATTTCCAGTCGTTGCACGTGTGTCGAGGACACCCGGTATACTCCTCGCCAAAATTCCACCGACACTCGATGTCTTGGTTGGCGGAGTTTTCTTGCGTTCACCTCGTTAGACCGCATTCCAGTCTTTGTGTCCCTCTTTTCCATCGCCCAGCTGCTTGCTTCTTCTTTTTTTTTCTCTTTTTTCTTTTTTTTTTCCCTCCCTCTCTTCTGCCTTTTCTTCTGCCTGTTTCTTCATCGTTTCTTATAGCGCGGATCGAAGATGACTTACGGGACCGGATCTCGGTTGGTAAGCTTAATAACGATAATATCGATCGAGATCGTCGTACGGTGGGCCGACACGATTGGGCCCTCGTCGCCTTTATGGGATTTGAAAACTCGAAAAGTAGCTTTACGACTCGACTTTTACGGTCGAAGAGGTGGTACGAAAGTGTAAAAAATTTTATTCGTTTTATTGGTGACGAGAGAAAAAACTTTTTTTTATCTTCTTTTTAACCGTGCGTCGAGAAAGTTAAAATGTTTTATCGTTTATTCAATAGTGTATCGTTATACATTGTAAGTTATGGCCCTTCTTTGTATTCCAGCGAAAGAAATTTGGAAAGAAAACAACTATCTGTATTAGGAAATCTATCAGATTTCTTCTTTCTCTGGAAAGCCAAATTGTTTTGAAAGAGTGTGCTGTTAATCCTTACCCCGAACAATGATTGGTTGGTACAATTTCCAGCTTCATTCAAAGGCACGTTCAGTATCACGATCAGTCGAAAATCCTGACCTGAATTCTCAAACGTGCTTCACTCTGAAGCTCGGAACAGAAGCAGATAAAAAGGAATTAACATTCCTTCTAAACATAAATCAGTTAAGAGCTGTCACGAATCGCCTTTAGGCACGTTTGTTTTATAGACAGGCTGAGAATAGATGATGGTGAATGTACGAGTTATGTTTTAAAAAAAAATTTAGATAAAATAATCAATGTTTTAATTTTGATAATTATTTGAAGTCCAATTGCCAAAAAGATTGCTTTTAATTTTATTTATGAAACACCCTATACATACAATAGTTCATAATTCGTTATTCTTATTTATCGAGAAGCCTAATATCTTTAGCATAAATGTTTATAAATTAAGTTTTTTCTTTTTTCGTAGTTCGAATTCCAATTAACATCGAGATTCGTAGAAGCCAACTCATAAAATTAATCGATTTTTAGATGCCATTAATGGATTTGCTCACCCCTGAAACGAGGGCGAATGCAAAACTGGGACATCGATAACTTGATTCTCAGAACAACGCGATACTTTTTGTCTTTCGTCGTTGTAGCATGACGAAAAACAAAAAGTGGCCTTTTTTTCCGGCATTGTGTATCGTCTTTTATCTTTGATAAAAAAAAAAAATAAAATATAATCGATAAATTGAAATGATTACGATTATAAATAGTAAAATAGCGACATCTGTTTTATGCAGAAGAAATGGACGTTTTAAAAAATAGATCTTTATTACGAGAAATTATGTTGTTATAATGTTGTAAAAATTTTGTAAAAATCATCGTATAATTCAAATTCTTTTGCAATATTATCGAAACATCTAAAACCAACTTTATTTTTTATGAAACATTCATAAACTTAATTATTAATTAGATTTCTTAACTATATTAAATGTAATCACGAATAGCGAAGATATTCTTAGATAGCATTTTCTTCTTTAAAGATCAAATTACAGATATCAAAAACCAATATTCTATTTTTATCGTTTTACTTATTTTGCATGATCAAACATATCTTGGTTAATCAACAATCGTCTTTTCCTAGAATCTCTATATATGATCTGATTTTCGTTCTTAATTCAAAGTTTTTCTCACGTGCGCGCTTGCTATGCGGAATTTATAAGTTCGCGGGGTCGCCGAGGCGGCGTTGTGATCGCAGCTCTCGCGCCATTAGCGCGAGACGGATGCTCAGTTCGAGTCCGACCATCGCACGATGCTTATCATTCGGTTACGTGTGTGTCCTTTATGTCAACCGGCAAATATTATTCGTATTAAACTGTTCGTCGAGCGTTGAGTGTTATTATTGATTCTCAAACACGATTATTAAGTAGCATCTTACGTTACAAAAGTGAACGATCGAATGAAAAATTGTTGCGTAATTCATGATTGAAATGAAAGGGCATTCATGAACGTGACCGAAAGCGATGATTAACGATGATACGTGAAATCGTACGAATATTGTTTCACGCGATACGAATGTTTGCTAAGATTTGGGAATCACGAGGAGATGCTACGAGTGTATGTAGATCGAAGTTCTCGAAATAGTAGAGACACCATGGTGCGAAACAGGAGATAATAAAAAGGAGTAGGTTGGAAGAGGAAGTGTCCTCTGTGAACTGTCAAATGGTTAGTATTTCGACCGTTCGCGCGCCACTGTACCTCTTTAAATTTTACATTCTTATTTCAAATTCGTTCAAAACTCGTTCAAATGTCTCTTTGTATGAATATCTTTGTCTATGTAACATACATGCATGCTTTAAGTTTAAACTGTGCACACTAAACGCGAGTATACTATGTTTACATTGCCATAACAACTTTTTAAACGAACATTCAATATAGACGCATGTATTGACACATGAACGCGAGCGGTACGTGAACGTGTTTCCTTCGGTTCCGTTGACCACAAGGTTTCATTTACGTAACAGACGTGTTGCGAGGCCCGCATATCTTGCGTATCTTTTTCTCAGAACCGGCCAAGTATTCTTGTGAACCATACGTGAAATTAAAAGCTTCACGAAGCTTTTTTGATATGGATTATTTTTCTTTTTTCACAATTAACACGATTTAAGATCGAACCATTTTAAAATAGCAAACGTGTAAGTTTTTCGTTACATCGTAATAGTTCATTCCGAGAAAAGAACGTATTCGCATCTTGTTTTTATTATACTTTATTGATTTTATTTCTCGGAATACAAAGGATAAAATTGTATTTTCTAATACTTTTCGCCTGTTATTTCATTTTCCTTTAATATATTATATATACTTACTTACTTTCGAAGTATATAAATTGATTAGCTGATGAAATTGGTTGAATGTAATTATTAACGAGCATGTTGAAAGCAATTTACATATTTACTTGATTTCCAATTGCAATGAGTTTTGCGGTTCTATCATTTGCATATGGTTATTACATAGCGAATGATATTATCTATATAAATTAGTGCAACATATTGATTTATTCTTATCAATTTATAAATATTTAAGTGGATTTTAACTTTAAAACATAGATTATATGTTATTATATCATTCTATATATATCAAGCAGTATATTGTTGTTATATTCATTAAATAAAAATAATGACGATTAATAAGAGAAGAAAAAGTAGTCATCGAACATTTTGTAGAATCAAAATTGATAAATTAATAAGGTTATGTAATTTGAAAAGATTTAATATTATATTTTTTTATTATTATTAGAAGAGTGTCAATTTTTATTTTTGCAAGATTTTCAAAATTAATTAAAAATTTCAATATTTATTCGTTTTAAATTTAAATATATTAAAAATCACATAAACTTGAATGTTAATAATTGCAACTCTAATAGAAATTTGATCGTTTTGTTACAGATGTCGGAGTTCCCAGTGGAGGGAGGAGAAAACGGTGACATGCACACTGTCATGGAGAATTTTCAAAAGAAAAACATGGTGACCGGAAGGAGCCATGTTACCCATCATCCACAGGTCACTTCGTCATCACAGGTAAATTTATAATTATATATATATATAATCAAAAAATAATTTTAAACCGAGAAATAGATATAAAAATTAATTAATCTATTTAAAATTAAATTATTATTAATTATAAAATTCAATTTTCCCGCGTAATACTTTTCATTGCACAAATCAAATTGACAATCATCCACACCTTCTCCTGCCAAAAGTTGGCAGAATTCTGATCCAAGAATGAGTTTCGACTCAATTTCACTGCAACTCTGTCTTTCAATGGAATTCGTTCCAAAAGTAATTCGAAGACTACGGATGACTTAATAAGTGACTGTACCTGTCATCGAACTTTCTATTTAAAGATTCTTACGAAAAAGTCGACAGCTTGAGCGTCGCGACGCTTTTCGCCCACAATTTTCAGAACACGGAAATTCGAAAATACAAACGATTTACTTCGCGATTACACTTCATGATTTCGCGATGATCTGAGCGAGTTTCCAAAATTAAGATTAGATGAAAATTGGTAAAAATTAAATTAAAAATTAAATTTGTTTTATTGTAAACAATTAGTTATCTGAAACAATGAAATATCTGTCGTCTTCGAAACGTCTAAAACAACGAGAAATTATTTTCGATAAATCATGATGATAGAATCAATTTATTTAAAATTAAGATCGATCAAAAATATTATTAATTCCCCGAGATTGTCACGTTTCATTATTTCAAAATTGATTCGATCATTATCGAAGAAGATTTTTATTCGAATAAAATTCAGTAATAATTTCTTAAAACATCTTATCTCGAAACACTTCGTTAAATGGTGCTTAGTAGTACACGTCAATCTTTTGCACGTGTATCTCCAAATTTTGTGATTTTGGTAAATATCCAATCTGAGAAATTGCATTCGTCTAGAAAAAGTACGTGTTAAAAATACCTTCGCATCCCACGAGTTTCAAATTTCGTTACGATATCGATTCGCGAAATAAAATTAAACATCAGTGTCAATTCTGGAACCGGAGATCCAGTTTTTAAAACGTGTATATATTTTTAGAAACTAAAAGATATAGATACATAGATCGCTAAAATACGAATATTTTTTTTTTTTTCATCGTTCGTATTTGGTATGAAAAAGCGAACGAAAATGGAGAAAACTAATTAAATAATTCTCAAAATACCTATTTCCCAAGAATAACTGACCAGTCTCAATGCTGCTGCGGCAGTTATACAAGCATTACTGCATTATTTGCACTCTCGTTTTGCATTTATGTGCTCACTCTCGAGTACAATTGCCTGAGAATAGAATTAATATATAAGGATTGCAATAAACAAAATCTTGGCATTCGTTGATACACGTGGAAAACGTTGAACCCTGAATTTTGATCGCATATTAACGTAAAACGTGACTATTCTCGACAATGTATTCTTGGCAAATATTTCAAAGGAAGAAGAACAAATGAAGGAAAAACCGAATTGAAAATGAGGAAAATCCTATATTTATGTAGTCTATATTTAACAAGTGTTTCAGGAAGGAAGAAAAATTACTGAGGTTAAATATATTTGATAACGTATTCTTTCTTGCAGATGTTAAAATGAAAAAAAAAAAAAAGAAAAGAAAGAAAAAAAGAAAAAAAAATGTTAGCCACGAGAGAGTATACGATTGAAATTGATGGCTCGATTTTAATTTAAAGATCTGAAAACAAACGATTATGCAATGGTACAAGGACCGCGTGTTTCAGAGCCGCCTACTGATAATCTTATCAACGCCACATTATTTTAATTATGCCTCGATTCATCTTTCATGGATTTTTATATCAACTCGACTTTCCATGTTCGACAATTTTTATTTAATTTATCAGTGTTCTTTGGATAATATTATACTGGAAATATTCGATTTTTTTTATCAAAAATTTAAAAATCTTCTTGTAATTTGACACGAAAACGATGATTTTAAATCAATCGTACAATATAATACGATTGATATTAGTTAATATTAGTTAAAATTTAATAATATTATTGCATTTGTATTTGATGATGAGTAAGTAACTATTTTGAGATTTTTGATGTTCATTGTATCAGATGCTCGAGATTAAGAATGATGGTTTTGAGTCAGTGAAACGATCAGGTTAAAATTGGGCCTATGACTGGAAATTAATGGTCCACTTTCAAGAATTCATTCAGATATGAGACTAAATTTTGAAATAGAAAATTTATTTTTAAATTTTCCAAACTTAATATTCAGATATTTAAACTTAGCTTCGCAAAATTTCAATTCGAAAATTGAAATAATTGAATTTTTAATTTATATTTCCATGAATATTTCATCAATTAATTAATTACTATCAGTAAACTACATTTTTTTTTATCGTCATTTAAAACTCTGTTTAATTTCAACTAAAAAAAAAAAAAAAAAAAGAAGAAGAAGATAAATTAGTAGCAATAAAATCAATAGAAAACCACTAATAAAATATTAAGAAATACGAATTTGAAATTCAGAGATCCTCAGATCCTCATCTTACTTACGATCACTTAAGTGATGCCTCCTTCAATGTTCAAAATCATTCTTTCTCGTCGTGTCTTCGCTCAAAACTCCGTCTCAAGTGTTCGAATTCGAATAATCAGCATGCATACTTGCAACTTTACGTAATTGTCGCCCACGTGAATTTTTTTTTATCCTAACCCAAGCCAAGCATATATCGAACTTCCAGGTCCGGGAGTCTCGAGGCCATATTTTCCAAGGTTTCTTCCACTTTACAATAACTTCAGAATGTTTTTCTCGGTTTTAAGCGTCTTTTGGCATGATTGGTCGTCACATTTTTGGACATTCACCAGACCAGTACTGTTCATATTCTTTAGAACATGGTATTTCTCTCGAAATTTTCTTACTTAATTTTTCCCTTACAATTTCTTCGATGATGATCAAATTTCAGAAGTGGTTTATTTTTAAGTGGACGTTGATCGAAATATTACGCAAATTACGTTTAATTAAATTTCTTTGCTACGATTGATCTTAAATTGGAATTTATATTTTTGTTTAGAAAAAATTCGCTTAGAATATTTTAAATGTCTATTGGATATTATTATTATAAAATTTTATTGTACTACTACTACTAGTATTTGCAAAATAAATATAAAGACATTTGTTTGAAATATATCGATCATCGTTACAACAACAAAGAAATTCATTTCATGTTTGATTTCGTTGGAAGTGATAATTCTTCTTCCAATTCCTCATATCACAAGTAGACAGAACAATTCACCATTTATTGCTCTGTAATTGTTTTAAATTTAAAAAATTGCATTTGATAAATATATTTTTGTTATTTCGATTGCTATTCTTTTTTAAATTAAATTAAAAAACTAAATTTAAAAAAGTTTAAAGAAATATATATATATATATAGAAAAATTGATAATATTATTATTTTTTTCTTTGCTAATTTATCATTTCCACTTTTATAATACCCGTAAATTTGTCATAGTATCATAAAAAATCTAATCGTCATAAAATTTTCGAAATTCTTCTTTGCGTCCTTCATCTCTAGCAAATATATTCTATCTTTTAAAATGAAAAATTTCTATTTCTATTCTAAAGTATTGCAAATCTCTCTCTCTTTCTCTCTCTCTCTCTTTCTCTTTTTCTCTTAAAATATAGAAGATAAATTTTAATTTTTCATTTTTAATTCCACAACTATAATTGGATCATCTCGTAAATGAAGTTGAACCAAAAAAGAAAAAATAAAACGGATGGTCAAAGTTGCACAATCGTCGCGAAAATTGATTCGAAAATTGAGTGGAAAGGACGAAAAGGAGGGGGGAAAAAATGGGTGAAAAGCGATCATTACGATTCACGTGAAAAACTAGAGTGACGAAAGGTAGTGAGAAAAGAAAACGAGAGAAAGAGAGTGAGTAAAGAGACGAATAGGCGAGAATGAGTCATCCCACGTGGATTTTAAATAGAACGTAAACGACTTTTGACTCGGCAGATGCTGACGACGAACCAGAGCCAGAGCAGCAGCAGTTCGAGCAGGGTGGCCACCAAATCCTCGCAGAGGATTCTTACCTCGTCCTCGTCGAGTGAGATGAAAGCGAGCTCAATGAAGAGCGACCTAAGAGAACTTCAGCGCGGCATATCCGAGATGAAGAACAACATTTCAACGAATTTTTCACAACGACTGCGCAGCAGCATGGAAAACCTCGTGGACAGGTGAGTCTTTCGCCGAATCATCATCTTTATTTCTTCTTTTCTTTATCCTTCGCATCGAATTTATCGCGCAGAAACGTATTATACAGGATGATCTAGTTTTAACAATTTTTATCATCTCGTACACACAGTCTTTGTTCTGTGGTTTCACGTAAAAATTTAGGAATATTGAAAATATTTTCGATAATTGTAGTACGAATTTTCCTTTCACGTAAACATTTCCACTCTTCGCTCTCTACGCATTCTTATTTTAAAATTTGAACGATTGGAAAGAAGAAGAGGGGGGGGGGGGACGAAAGAATATTTTCCACAATAAAAACGTTCCACGCGATTCATCCTATTTAGAAATATCAATTTCTTCTCGGATTAGAACGTTCAAGAAGAATCTTAAACCCTCGTATCTGGTTAAAAAACTGCTGAACTGTCGAAAGAATTGTGAAATGTAAATCAGCTCGAGATTACATTTCTATTTCGCACATAAGCGAATTGCACGGTAATCAAATTTCACGAATTGATGAATCTTCCTCTGAATCCATCTCGTAATCATCAGCGAACTCGCCGATTATTCCAACAAACGCTGCTTCTTTCGCGTTCCTCTCGAATTAAAATTTTTCTTTCCCTCCACCCCATCGCTTTTTCTTTTCCACAGGGACACGAACGGATCGGAGGAAGCCGATTTGACGGAGCCGTTGGTCACGTTTCCGGATCCGGATACGCCGCCACCAGCCACAGGGGCGGTCACGCTGACCGGAGGATCACCCTCCCAATTGACCTCCTTGAACTCGTTGAACAATCTTCACAGCATGAGCCCACAGATCAGCATGTCGAATATTTCGAATATGACGAGTCTTCCTGCTGGACAGGAAACGATGAAATTCGAGCAGAAGAAGATGACAAGCGCGTCCAAGACCAAGGTGAGCGTTTCCCTTTCTTCGTCCCGATCTCTGCAACAATATTATCTGAATCTGTCCAATCTTCGGATGATAGATTCGTAAAGAATCCAGGAAGAATCGAGAAAATTGAAACGTAGAAATCTGTCGAAGTTTCCACTTCCGCTCGAGATAGAAAACGACTCGCAATTCGTGTTAATTTGCGGATGAAGGATCAGTTTGGAATCGAGCGAACCGGTCCAAATTGCGCGTTAAATAATCGATGTCAGTTGGAGCTCTTGCTCGACGTGTTTTGGTGACGTGAAGCTGCGCAATATTTGGCCGGAGGTGCGGTTTCCTCTAAGTAGTCTAGGTCAAGGACTTGGAATCTATCTCTAAGTAAGTCTTCTCTTAGCCAAGCTGCCAGCAATATGTACGTTCATTGTACGTGCTATCGCCGTGTTGTTGTTATTCTCCTAAAATATTTTTCTTTTTATTAACCGTCTCAATTTCGTATGGAAATTTTTCATCCTCTTTCATTCGTGAAAAAAGATTCTTCCACGCGGATAATTCATTCGAAAAAGGGGAATTTGCATTACAAGTATACAAGCAAGAAAGACTTTGTACCTGGTTATTTTCGCATCGAATCTCGCTGTCTAGCTCCCTCAACGGCCCAACACTTTCCGTTTCAATTCTATCTTTAACTTGATTTCCGTCACGCCAAGGTCGCTGTTTCCACCCTTCCTCGTACAATTACAACACGCATCGTCCAGTTAACGTTGATTAGCTTGTCAACGAGATTTTTCTATTTTGCTATTATACGCGATCACGTTTTTTGAAATAAATTTAATAGACCCCTTTTCAATCGAGGCTAGCTTTCAGAAATTTATTTGAAAATATCTTCTTTTACCCAATCCATTCGACATCACTCTTCGACAGAATAATTGTCTCTCTTTTAATCCATCCCTCTTCTCTGAATTTCAGGTCGTCACGGACGGATTCAGCGCCGAGAAAGCGACGGCGAACAGCGCCGAGATGAGAGCTTTACAAACTGGCGACGTCTCGTACAAGGAGCAAAGCGCCGCGACGGCGGCCAGGGCCCGCGTCGAACTCGATGGCGTCTCCGCCGAGAAAAGCGTCGCCGCTGCAAGGGTGAGTCCCTCTGACGTTTTGATGAATACCCGCGCGGAATCCTCGTACGTTAGAACCTCTTAACTTTCCGCCAAGGTCGCGATAAATCAGAAGACCCCCGCAGAAAGCGAAAACCCGAGGGCAGAGTCGACGAGACGTAAGAATTCGCAGGGGTTAATTTATCCTTAAGGTTTTAGCGTCTTTTAATAAGAAGAAGAAGAAGAAGAAGAAGAAGGAATCGTGAAATAAGATTTCAACGTTTTCTCTCTTGGAATTTTAATCTCTCTCGAGAATTCAACGCGGAATTTTATCTCTTGGTTTTAATTGTTCATGAGATGTTTCTCAAATGTTCTCTCCAATTTGTATTTTTGTATTTAGATTTATCGTGTTTCTTGTTTTCGAGGAGTGAATGAATTTTTATTATTTTTCTTCTGTGGAAAAAGAAGAAGAAAGTTTCGTTTCCTTTAGACTCGGAACCACGTGGTTTTATTTACGCGATTCAAGTCGGAGTCTGGAACTGTAAATGTAAATTTATTTATCCCAGACTAAATCTTTCGTTAAAATTTGGAACAGAATGTAATTCATTTGTCGTCAATGCAGAAAGAATAAGATAATAAGGATTTTTTTTATAAAAAAAATACAAAAGAATGGATATCTTTGAAAGAGTCAATTACAATGAACGTATTCGCTTGTTCCGGTGATGGAAGGATCTACCGGAAGGCGTGTTGCTCTGGGTGCGGCCTAAGCTCGAATAGTTTGGCACGAAACTGGCCGAGGCAGAGGAACTTGCCTCCTCTTAGGTCGTTGACACGTTTGCTTCTCCTGCTGATGATCTCTCGCGTTCGAACGCCGACTGTTCTCACGTGATCGTCGTATAAACATTCTCTAAAATCTCTCTCTTGAAATCTACAACGTTCGCGGAAATAGTGAAGCGTTGCTACTATTTCGTTGAAATTTCGGCACACGTGATATCACGAGCCGAAATTAGGAACAAGGAACAGAGTCGAAAAATAGATTTTTCCCCCTGTAAAAAAATCGGTGAAAACAGTTAAAGTATTTACGTATTTTTTTTTTTTTTTTTTTTTGAGGTTAAGAGGTAATAAGATGCAGGTATTTTATTTGTCGAAAAATTTGGTCGTATGCTTTGTAAGATGTTTGTCGAAGCATCGAGGTCTTAAAATATTCGAATACTCGGTGACCAACAGATGGGAATAATTTATGGCATTTTTCACTGTTTGTCTTTCTCTTCCTGAGTTCTTTAGGTTTTTTTTTTTTTTTTAATTTCAACATGTTTTATGGACACAAATAAAAGGAATGGATGATATTATGGAACAACTAGTTTTTTTCTCTCTCGTATGATCAGCAAAATTGAATTGAAACAGATGTTATTTAAAATTTGAAGAAGAAAAAAATAAAGAGAAAACCTAGCTATCGAAGAGAATTCTTTCGATCAATTAATATTGCACGATTGATTTTCAAAAATCATTGATATCTTATCTTCAATTGATACAACGATGTGGTACCATCGTTACACATTCTGGTTTTATACATCTTACATTTTACTTTGTATATTCAACGTAGAAACGTTTCTAGAACATGTTGAAATTATATATGCGAGATTTGTGGATTATGCGAGGTTATTTGCCCTGTGAAAATCGTCGAACTCGCGAGTATCACATTGTCGATTACGCTGGCAGTTTTCACTGGATATCCGACTATTTACGCTGACTCGAGGTTCTAAATTTAACTGTTTTTCGCCAAGCTGTGTTGCCTTTGAGTCATCTAGGGAATTTTTGAAACCGAGCCAATGACTGCCAACAAAGCGCACAATGTTGTTCCCTGCATCTTACGTGGATCCGTCGATGTTTAACCTTAAAAGAAATTCTTTCGCGTATTTTTCTTCGCTTTCTTCCCCTTCGTGAGATTTTTCACGTCTTCTCTTCTTGTTTTATAGAATTGAACGGTTTTTTGAACCGGGTAAATTACGCGAAGAAAAAAGTTAGGTTAGGTTTGAAATTTTTCATCGAAATGTATTTTTATACTATCGTTGTATTTATCATTGTTAAAAAATACCTCATTTCTTTACCTTTTCCCTTCTGTTGTGTTCAGAATTATTGATTACAAAGTTTATAGATTACAGATTAGGTTAGGTTGAAATTTTACCTCGAATCGTAATTTTATATATATGTTTTTGATAAGAATGAAACACATTCAGGATCTTCTTAAAGTTTTTTAAATTAGTATCGCGAAACACGAGTGTCAAAATATACGGTTGAATTTATCGTTCAACCTTTTTACTTAATGAAACTTTCGCGTGTCTATCTTTCGTGTCTAAAGTTTCACCACGGGACAATGGATTTTCCTAGCCTGCGTGAACCATTTCTTCGTAATGGCGTGTTCTTAAGTGAACCTTGACCCGTTAACTATAAATTTAAACGTTTCCTCGATCGATTAACTTCTTTCTCGTTAATTTTCCGTATTAAAATTATTGTAATATTCGAAATGAAAATATTTACTCTTCCTCGAAAAGTCGAGAATGCTCGTTAAAAGCGTATTCTTCAAAAATTTTGACTTGTGCAACTTGATTATTCAAAAGATTCGAATCTAGGGAAGTTTGATTACCGATCAAACGGTGGTATAATGGCAAAAATTGGCAACAGCAATCGCAGGCGTTGGCAAACTCGTCCGAATATCGTTTGTATATCCTCGATGAATCATTGGTTGCACGTGTTTAGAAATTACGCATGTGGTTTCGATCGAATGAATCACAACAAATCAGCTGGAAGAATTAGAAAAATGAATAAAACATCGAATATCTTCTTCTTCGATATTTGAACGAATAATTACAAATTCTCTTTAACGCAATAAAACTTAAATTTTTGATCTCGAATTATGATATTTCTTTATTTCTAAACAATAAAAAAAAAATAGAAAAAAGAAATACATTTTAAATAGAAATATACGGAAAATATTAATTTCATTAACGTACAACGAATCTTAGTAACTTTAAATTCTATTTTATAACACTTTAGAAAAAATAGCTAATTAAGCCGAACTTCGAGCATCTTTCATATAAATAAACATTTATCACAATTTTCCAAGATAAATATCCACAATTTCAACAACAATACGAATAATAAGATTGTCGTAACAAAAAGAAAAAATCTAAACGATATTTAGTAAGTATTATATTATATTCTCAAATTTGTAAAGATGAGCAAAGAGAAATTATTATTATACCGCAAATATCTCAAATATTGTCATTGCGATCTCGACATATCCTTGCTCCCACGCGCAGAGATGTTTCCATGGGGATGGAACACCTCCTTTTGACGGGGGTGGATGCGGTCGAATCGCGATCGATCGGTGTTCCCTCGAGGACAAACCAGTTAGTTCTTGGCGCTGTTGGCGGGCGGTTCGCGCGTGTCGATGGGTCAACCGTTGTCGAGTTTAACGCGGAGATTTTTCCCCGTGTTTAGGCCGAAAAACGGGGCCGAGCGGCGAGGAATCATGGCGAACGACGCTTTCGGAGATCAGAAATCCTCCTCCTCGAAAATGGTACGAGAAAACCGCCTCGATATAAGGTATAAAATGTTGTGTGGAGGAGGAGCAGTCGAGAGTGAATCGATCGTTTTCTTTGTTGCTCTAATCTTGTTTTGAAGGAAAATATCGCAACACGGCGTCGCGACTATGCGTTAGGGAATTGAGGAAGTGTGATAACCCAGTGTTGATATTGTTGAATAAATATTGATCAGCGGTGTTCAATATTGCTCTTTGACATGTGTTTAAAGGAAAACAGTGAAAAAAGTGTCAGTGATGTAATACTACGCCTTATTTGTGTCGTATTAAGTGCGCTTATCGATAGCTATAATTAATAAATAATTAATAATAAAATCCATGGTGGTGTCATCTGGTGAGAAGTTGTAACACGTGTCGGAATCTTTGCCAAAAAAAATGAAATGTACCTCATCTTTGTGCATTCGAAGGATAATAGAATCTTGTCAAATATATTATTCGTGGCAAAAAAATTTTTTTTTTTTTATTTATGAGTATTCACATTAAGCAAAGAAGAAGATTATTGTAATTTCAATTGCACAAGCTTTGTATAAATGCAATTTTATCGAGAGAAATTTTAAGCTTCTCCAGAGTCTTATAAAGTCATCGAACGATAATCGAGGTTTTTCACATCCTCGAGTGGGGCGATAAGTGTCGTGAACGAATCCATTCACTATTCTTACGACGAAACTCGTAGCCTTCTGTAATTAGAGGCCGATTAATTAATCGATTATAGAGGAAGATGAGGACGATTGAGCTACAATCAAACGATTGCCACGAGTTTAGCGTTCTTTTAATTCCGTGATTGCGAACGAAACACGCGTATCCGCAAACATTTACGTAATACATACGTCGACCTTCTTCCTTGCGATCGATCGTTCGTTTCTAATTTATCACGCGCGATCGATATGAGCTGTTTAACGAGTAAACGATTTTACCGCCTCATAATAGTTATTTTGAAAGTGGAAAATAGATTTATTAGGATTTCTGTGTATACAGAAAACAAAGTTAAATTAAAGGAAACGAGGTTTAAGGGTGAGAATTGAGGGATGAAATATTGCGCAGAGAAGATTGAAATGAAGATAAAAAGTAGTACTGAGTAGTAAAGGATTAATTTTGAAAAAGTTTCATTTGTGAAACTTATAAAATTCATAAAACGCATCATTATGAATAATGATTTTTAAATATTTATTTGATATGAATTTAATATGAATGCATGTATCGTGGGAATTTATGATGCATGAATTTTTTTCTGAGAAATATGAAAAATTTTTTCACATATCCTTTATTTTCTTTTTTACAATTATTTTTTGTACTTATCAAAAATCAATATTCACTTAATACGCTTCCATTTTTCGTATTATGTTGATTGTGTTAATATAATTACATTATATTCTTCAGAAATATCATAATGATAGATAACTACTCAATATCCATTTTTAAATTTTTTTATTAACGTTTTTTAT